GATTCTATGACTATGATGTAATTTTAGACACTAACATTTACACCATGGGTGTTGCTCAGTATTTCTAAGGATTATATATATATATATATATATATATATATATATATATATATATATAATGTTTCAGCAAATAAGCCATGCAAGACTCAGAAGCCCCATGCAAACACTGTACTCTTGCTCCTGAGATGCACCAAGCATTCCTTACCTCTTCAGGTCAACTGTTGTGACACTGAACACCACTCCCTTCAGCCAAAGGATCATGAAGAGCCTCTGTGAGAAAGGGCAGTTTCCTATGCTTTCCCCATCGCTGCCAGCCTGTAGGAGAGAGCACAGATCACAGCTGTTAGAAGGTGCCACATACACAGGTACTCAAAGCTCTTCATGTAGAGGCAGACTCAGCAGCAAATCATGGACATTGCTACCTGCACATCATTCGCTCTGCCACAGAGCAGAGCACACAGCAGGAATGCTCCCAGAGCACTCAAAGGTATCCCTATGCAACACACGAAGTCAAGCACCCTCAGAGCATAGAACACACTTCACATATTGGGGCTCTGTTATTTTATTTGTGTGTTTTCCTCTTGGATCTTCCCACCATGCTGTTTTGGTAGCAGATATACCTACGACTGCAGTGCAATTCACCCCGAGCAGCCACACATTCAACAGCAGTTTCCCAACATCGTTTGTTGGATTGATTCCTTCGTCTTCCCCCAGGCACAGTAATTAATTACAGCCATCTTCCAGTCCATTGCTCATCTCACTGCATGGCACTGCAGCGAGCCAACTGCAAGCAGCAGCTCCAAACCCTGGCTGTACCAACGGCTGTTACAAGGAAGAACAGAGCTGTGCACTCTGGAACTTTGCTGCTCATATTCCAAAGACATTTTTTAATAGGAAACTTATCAACAAATGCTGCCACAAGAAAGGTTATTGTATAACAGCAGTGAGCAACTCCAGGGCAGCCAGCCATGGCACACATCCCATCGCTGCCCTGACAGTGCAGTGTGTAGAGCTGAGCTGGAAAATCTGAGTTTTCAGTGGGATGGAAGCAGAAACTGGAAACCTTGAGTCCTGTTGTAAAGTCTGAGCCCTGGTTCAGGAGTTGAGGCTGCTGTATATAAAAAAAAACCTACAGGATTTTGTGTATTATTATCAGAACGCTTCCAAGAATGATTTCAATCAACCTGGGCTTTAGACATGTGCTGATTCCTCCTCTGCTGCTGTCATTGGACTGTGCTGTAGGACACACTGACTGCCCTCCTCTGACACAGCGCACCAAACAATGATGTGAAATGCAGGGCAGATGACTGGAAGGGCTGAAAGCCTGGGCACTGACTGGTGGAGATCCATTTAAACAGAAGCACAGTAAGGTTTGGGCACTCACCAAAGGAATTGCTTTTTCTCCAGCTCTCTGCCAGTTCCCAGCCACTGAGAGGGGCCCCAGTGGGGAGAGCACAGACTGTGCAAGTGTCAGAGTGAGCAGCAGCACTTCCAAAGGGCAGGGAAAGAAGAAAGCTTTTCATCCAAAGTGTCTCAAAAAGATCCTTTACCTTTAAAAAACTCCAATGCCTTTCAGCAGGGAAGTTGCCACCAGAACAGGAGGATTCAAACCAATTTCTGCCGCCCTCAATTCGTGCTTTGTTGTGGACGATGTACAGCCCTTTTTCTTCAAACCTTTGCCACTAATGAACTAATGAAGAAGGAAAGTTGCTGGGTTTTGTGCTTGCTTTTTGCTTTGCATACATCACAAACTGGTGAGAGAGAGCAGCCAGCCTGGGCACTCAGCTCAACGCACAGCTTTCTGCTGTGCATGCAACCACTAAGGATGGGAGCTGCTGCACAACGAGTGCATTCCTGCTTCCACCATCTATATACCTATCTCTGTGTATATATATTACTTCCCAGACTAATTTGCACTGTGAAGCAGAAATGATTCTATGATACAGAACCTATCTCAGCCTTCAATTGTGAGCAAGCACGACGCCAGGCTCAGCCCACAGTTCCACCCTTAAGGACACAGAGCTCTGCTCAGTCATCTTTAATTCAGCACTTCTGACACCGAAGCCAGGCAGCAGAGCTAGCTAATACAACACATGCTGCCGAGGTCTCATCTCACCTGCACCCATGTCTTCTTTATCACCACAGGATTGTATTATTTCCAGGGGAAGATGGAAGGATCACAGCTGAAATAAAGCACTCTCCAATGCAAGGAGCGCTGCGGTTCGTTGTGCTACAAAGTCTTGGGCCATCTGGAACCCAAAGCAAAATTGCTTTGGGAACAAAAAGCAGTTGGGACTTTATGGCACAGCCCATTTTCCTAAGCCAATCCCAAGGCAATTCCAATGAGGACCAAAAAAAGTCAAACACGTTTATGCCATAATACAACAACTTGTACTGAAACTTGTCTTCTCTCCCAGCGTGAGCATAATATTCAAAACAACCAAGCAATTTGACAGCATCTACTTCTGTTTGAGCATTATGGGCTGCTTAGATTGCTTGAATCAGGAAAAAAAAAAGAAAGGATTACAGCCCACCAACCAACAGCAACTTTAACAAAACAAAATACATTTCCAAAGCTGCAACTGAACAGCTTAACGAAGCACAGACTTTTCTATCTGCATTCAAAGGGTTGTCCCACTTCTGCTCCAAAAAGTCCCAAGTTATTCTGAGCACATACTGGAAAAGGAATGCGGTCAGAACGCCAAGAAACTTCTGGCTTCAATGGTCTTGAGGCAAGGGATTCTGCTTTGTAAGTGCTTGCCCAAGAGGCCCGTTCCTATCTTCCTGCATTGGATGCAGCAGGAGCTGCTGCTCAGACCTCCATGCTGTGTCACTGGGAGCAGCACCGTGCTGCCAAGGCACTGCATTGCTGCCTGGGACATGCATGGACTTCTGCAGGGCGATGGGCTGCTCGATGTCTCTGCAAGAGCCGCTCAAGAGCCATTTTCTCCACTGCAATAGATGGAAGTTCAAGCAAACAGACTAAAAAATACTTAATAATAAAAGATCAGGTCTTGAATTCAGCAATCCGTATCTCAGGTTAACTAAGAAAATACTCTGCTGGGAAGATGACATGAGAAAAGCAGCACGATGCGCGCCCATGGCCCCAAAGAGCAGATAACAATCGCTCCTGCATGCTTCACGAGCAGTGAGCTCATCCGAAAAATAAGCAAATAATCCCATACGGAGCAGTGTTTTAAAAGGAAACTGTTTGTGGGGGAATAACAAAGTGATCCAAGCGAAAAACACACAGCAGCTCAACGCCCAGGGGTGGAAATGCAGAGAGGAGCGGTCCAGCGTTCCCCACATAGCACAGAGAACAGCCCAGCAGTATCAGCCTCAATCCTTCCAGCTCAGCTCCGGCCTTTATCTCACCAAGCTGGATAAACAGAATTCCGTGCTGCTTGCAGGGCAAGGCTTGCAGATAAGATGTGCAGGAGGAGGGGTGGGCAGGCAGCACCTGGGGCAGAGCAGTGGGACAGCACAAGGGATCCCCATACGAGCTGCACCGAGGAGCACAACCCCTCTCTTCAACCTTTCTATGGGAACCTAAAGCTCGGTAGCACTCCACCAGGTTAGCTGTGCTCGTACCTGGAACCATCTGCCAATACAAAAGACTGCGATGATTAATTTGTGGTTTCCACACGACGATCGTCACCCACCCCACCCAGGGGAAGAGCAACCCAAGGCTCCTGGTGAGCTGCGTCATCGGCACTTGGTTTCTCACCAATTCCCACGTCAGCCCACATCCACGTCAACCCCCCGAGCATTTAGGAATGAATGAATGAGCCGACGGAGCTCCCTGCGAGGCCCACAGCTCTGACAGCACACTGCGAACCGAAACGTCTCTCAGCCCATCCAAACTCAATCATTGCTGTGCCACACAGCTGACTCGCAGAGCAGCGACCATTTTAGGACGAGGCTGTATTCAGCCTTGTGATGCCACTCCTATCCTAATTATTAGCAGTTCTGTCTTGGGTGGCTTTGTGCAGCTCTTACCGCTACCTGATTTTTAGCACAGAGCTTTTTTGGGGGAAAAAAAGCTGTGGGATTTTCAGGATGTATGAAAGTAACTTTGTGATTCAGTAGTAATTCATAAAGTGCTTCATCATCTTGGGAGAAAAGACATTATGCCATGGTCATCCTTTGTGAGAATCAGTTCAAAACGTGCATTAAACACTGTCCATTGCTTTCTTCAGTGGAGAAATCAGCTTGATGGCACGAATACAACAACGTGGGGTTATCAGACACAGCCCACACGTGAGCTTCTCCTGATCTGACGTAGGAGAAATAAGCAAGCTCACCTTTTCCACCCCTTTTCAATACGTTTAACAAAGTGACTCAGCTGTAACAAACCCAGATAAGGACAAACGTGTCCAAATCCACTGAAATTTGCTATGACACATCCCTGCAATATTAAGTAGGAAACTGCCAATTAGGCTGTTAAGTCTTCAGCACTACAGGTTTCTCTATAGAAAATCCATCACCAGGGAGTTCCGACGTGTGAAAGCAGCAACACAGCTAAAAACCAACTGCCAGAAAACCAAACCAGAGAGAAAACATCCATAGCCATGGAAGAGAACTGCCTAGCAATGAAAACATTGCTCAAATTCTCAAAACTCACTGAAGCAGAGCTGCAGTTCTGAACGGTACCCCCTGCTAACAGGGCACTCCAATGCTCCAGCAAGGAGAAAACATCATCTCAGGCCGAAACAGGAGTTGGAATCTGGATTCTGGAGCTGCTAAAGCACGAAGGTTTGCAGGGAGGCTTGCTTGCTGTTGCTTCTGGTCCCAGCGCCATCCATGAGTGCACATCCCTCAGCACCAGGATCCCAGATCCTCGTTTGCAGAGCAGAGCTGCCTCCTCCAGGTTGCTGCCTCACCTCATTAGGATCCAGCACAGCGTGTCACACCGGGGCAGCTAAAACATCGTTCGAAGGATTACAGCAACCCACTTTGCTTTCTTTCACTTTATTTTTAGACAAAACCACGCAAAAAAAAAAAAACAAACCTATTTCCTTCATTTAAAAATAGCAGCCCTCCAAAGCACAGACCAAAGTCTAGCCAAAATAGTCATTCTTGAACGGAGCCAAAAAGCTCTGAAGGCGATCCAGTAGCGCTGACTGATCTCATTAGCTCTTCCCATGAAAACACACAGATATGACTTCACTCCTGGATTACACTCCTATATTTAGTTTATACCTAATATGGACATTCAGGGCACAGAACGCAGTCATTTCCTCTCCTCGCACAGAGCTCCTTGCCCTTTGTCTGGCCAACAATACGAGGAATCAGGCTGAACTCCTGGAGAACTCACACACAAAGAAGGCTGTAATTAATAGCAGCTTAGCTTATGCTTTTAACTTCTGCATAAACAAACACTGCATTCTCAGCTCTAAAAATCAGACCGGGTTGGACCTGAGCTGGAAAAAAAAAAAAAAAGAAATCAAAACAAGCTTCAAGAAATTAACCATTATCTTCTAGAGGAAAAGAACAACATTCCGAGTAAAGAATTTTTACAGCCCTTGACGTCAAGGTCCTGTTTAAGCTCCTATGGAGACAAAGTGGTTCTGTTTGGGGGTGTTTTAACTGTTAAGTGTTGGTGCAGAAGAGTGCAGGCCTGGTGTTGCTGCATTGCACAGAATGGTTTGTGTGAGAGAGACCAAATGCACGCATTGGAGAGAATGGAGCCCCCAGATCTCTTTTTCTAACATGCACTGCAGTTTGTGCTTGCAACCCCCGGGTGCGAAGTCCACCAGAGCCCTGCTTGCTGTTCAGCTGAAAGTCCAATGAACTCCCTGGCTGGGCTCCCAGAGACAACGCAGCGCTCAGAATCTGCGAGCTGGTGGTAAAAGAGCTGCAGAGCCACGGCTCTGTGCCCACCCACAGCCCCTCCGCCACACCAGGCTGCGCCCAGTGCAGACAGGAGGGGTTACCGCACCTCCACGCAGCCGTTCCTCACCTCTTTACCTCCATTTTCACCTCCCAACAGGCCAGCTCTTTTAAGAGGATTCTCATGCTCAGTTATTTCCACTCAGTCACAAGCAGCCCCTCTCCCCTCGAGCCCACAGGTGTGGAGCTGCATCCCTCACCATGGCACTGGAGCTTCCAGCCCGGCACAGGGCATACCCCAATGGCCACACAGCAGGGATGCAGGCACACAGCAAAGCACTCACTGGACAGCCTGAGATGTTCTCAGGTGCTGAAGCTGTCGATCTTGTGCATAGGGAAGAGCCTCACCTAACAGGATTATCAAGCAACAGGTCTGCCCCTGACAGGAGCACCGCTGGGAAGCGATGCTGTGCCTCCAGCTTTGCTGCTTCCTCCTATTGATGAGCTGTAATTCAGATAAAGCACACGCTGGTGTGCATCCCCCCCCTGCCACGAGCTCAGTGTGAACAGGACTACATCCCACAAAGATCTCACCTGCCAAATGCCAGTGTGGTTCACAACTGCTGGCACTTTGTGAAGGATATTTATTAAATGTGAATTCACAGCTGTTTTCTACAGAGCAAACTATCTGGTTTTCAAAGCAGGTGCCCAATTTCTCAATGACACCCCATAGAAAGCTGCCAGATACCCAAGGTCTAATTAATTGATGAGTACGCACACGCTGCACAGGTGAAGATGGGGTATTCCTTAGCCATCACCTACATCTACTACATCCCAGTGCCTCCTGCCAGCAGACAGACAACCACAGACTTCCTGTTGGTTGGGTTTTCCTTCTCACACACCTGCTGTCACCTTGCTATTACCAGCACTGATCCCTCCCTGCCCTCTGGGATGCCGAAGGCCGCGCTGCGGGCAGCTCCCATCCCCACCTCCTTTGTATACAGGCTCCGTCCTGTGGTTTCCACAGATGAGTTGTCCTGTTTGACCAAAGCAATCGGGCACGCTTTTTATTTACAGTGAAAATCCACCTTTGATTTCCTAAATTGCAATTGGAAGTGAGCTGTGTGCGTTATATTCAGATCATAACGCCTGAGTTTGTGGCAATGTGGTCTTCGCTGCTCTGCAATGCCACCAGGGCATATCATCAAGCCTCCCCATTAATAATACATGCACACATATGAGGAAGCAAAATGAAATCCGACACATCACTGGGTTCCCCTACCAGCTCTCAGAGGAAAGACTTGAAAAATATCTGTGCTTAGTTTTAAAGGGGCCGCAGGCAGCCCCATGGAACAGCTCCTCGTGAGCCCAAGGAACACTTTATTACCTCCATCCCAGCACCATAGCAGAAAGTGTTTCCTTACCTCAGTCCCCTTCTTATGCACGTCCTCCATCACAGCCTATGAAAACACCACTTACAACAGACAGCCCAAAGGTGCTGCGAGCATCAAGCAGCCCCATACACCCACGACTGAAGGCTCACGGTGTGCCCACCCCACGGGGTTAATAACATTCAACCCCCCCACCTTGGGCACGAAGCCAAGCTCCCCCTGCTTCACAGTTCTGCTCACCCAGCTTTAACCATCACCTGCTGCCATCTCCTCTGCTCAGGTCACGCAGTTGCTGCCCTTCTTCAGCTGCAGACATTTGGCACAGATTTCTCCCCTTGGTCACAAAGTCCTTCTGCTGCCCCATTGGAACAGCTGCTGGCTGACAGCGCTGGGGCAGAACCGAGAGCCCACATGCTGTGCAACGCAGAGAACTTCAAACAAACCCTTTCTAACTCTTGCTCAGTAACTGCAGGCTCTGCCAGACTGCTCCCGGAACCAGCAGAAAGCTGTGAAACAAACACAGACGCTGCGCTTCCCATTGACAGCAAGAGATTAAACCAAAATCTAGCGCTCCTTAAGGAAGACACTGTGAGCGCCTTTCATTACTCTGCCTGCATTTGCATGGAGGGATGAGCTTGGCAAAGACGGACAGCAAACAAAAACCACTGCTGCCATAAGGCTGAACAGCATCAGTGCGGCGTGGGACAGCAGCAACGCCCAGCAACAACTGCCGGGGCGGCTTTGGGGTGGAGGTGTTCTTCCTCTGCAGGATTTTCCAGGGAAACAACCCTTACCTGAAGAGCACGAAGGCCAACAAATCCAAATGCTTCCTAACCTGAACCTTGTCCCGAAGGCAGGCAGCTCACAGCGCTGCAGAAAGGCTTCCTCCAGGGAGATGGCATGGGCCGGTCCTGCTGAGCGCAGCCCTCATACACCCTTGCTGGTAAAGTTTCAGCCAAAGGTGACAGAAACGTTCCCTGCTTTTTCCTTTTCATAGACACCAACATCTCTGCTGGTCCAACACCGAGCAGAATCCAGGCTTTTTTTGCTTAAAAAGTGATTTTGCTTTCTTTCACACACGAAACACTCCTCGCACAGCAAACTCACAGCCCGAAAAGGGCAACACCCGACCCGCTGAGGATCCCATCCACCCAGCAGAGCTCCCATTCAGCGGCTCCTCGCTGCAGGTCCCGGCGGTGACACCGAACGCTTCCCGACAACCAGAGGCGCCGCATCGCCGCGTCACGGCACCGTTCGGAAAGTTCAACGCGAGCACCGAGGCGCTTTGTTTCTGGGGCGGCTCTATTCAAAGCAGCCCGGAGCAGAAAGAACGCGGGCACCGCTCATCTCCCGGAACGGAGACGGAACGGAACAGCGGATCGGCACCGCCGCGCCCCGCAGGACGGGAAGCGTCGCGTTACTTCGGGTTCCGACGGCCGACGGGGCCGATAGGAGCGACGGGGCCGCCCGCCTCGCCCCGCCCATCCCGGCCCTTTGTGCGCGGCCGCCCCGCGCGGCGCCACGGGCGTCACCCGCCGCCGCCCCGCGCTCCCGCGGCGCTCCCGGCGCGCAGCCCAGGACGGGGAACGGCGGCTGGGGGCGGGAGGAGCGCGGCGGGGAGAGCGAGGGAGCGGGCGGCCAACGGCCGGAGCGCCCCGAGCCGCGCCCGGACCGTACCTTAACGAAGAGCTCGATGACGGGCTCCTTATCGCCTTCCTTCAGCCCATTGACCGGCACGGACAGCGCCATGCTGCAACCGTCGCCGCCTCTCGCCTCGCCCGCTGCCGCCGCCGGGACGGGACCGCCGCCGTTCGCCTCGCCCGCGCCGCGCGACTGCTGCCCGCCCCGCCCCGCGCTACAACGCACAGCGCCCCGGGGCCGGGAATGGGGGCGGAGCCAGAACAGGGGGCGTGACCTGATTGGAGGCGGCACAGAAAGGAGGCGGAGACAACGGTGTGGGAGCGCGGTTGAACTCGGGGGCGGTTAGCGCTGAAGCGGGCGGGGCTAACGGCGAAGTGGGCGGGGACAAGGCGAAGGTAGGCGTGGCTAACGCGAATGTAGGCGGGGCCGCTGTGTTACGGGCGGGGCTGTCGACTATGTGGGCGGGGCTAAAGGGTCTGGGCGGGGGCAGCGCTCGGGGCGCCTCGGTGGGCGCGGGCGGCTGAGATCATCGCTGGGTTTGGCTGTGTGCGCGCAGCGGGCGGGGGGAGAGCGAGGGGCGGGGAGCCGAGCTTCAGCCTAGTTTGTGCCGAGCTATTGAGGCCAAGGGCTGAGGAGCCGGGCAGAAAAAGCGCAGGAGATTTGGGAGGAGCGGCGGAATGAAATTAAACCGTGCGCCCTTTTCCAGTGTTTTCCTCAAAATAGCGCACATTCCGGCTCCTCGCAGCCCTTCTCCGCCGACGGAAGGTTTTCCTGTTTGTTTTACAGAGTCCAAGGAACCGCTGTGACTCACGGGGTGGGACAGTCGGCGCGGGGTGGAGGTGTCACCGTAACCAAACAGCGCCCGGCCCTGCCCGGGAACCTCCGCCTGCAATTAATGGCAGAACTGTGCCACAAAGGCCGCCTTCATCAAAGCAGGGCTGGGGGGGGGGCGGAAGCATCGAGCCGCAGCACAGAGCAGAGCGGTGGGAGCTGTGCCCCCAGTGTCGCCCAAAGGGGCCTTGAGAGTCCCAGAACCACCAGCTCCGCTCCGCCCCTCCTCTGCTAACAGCCCCAAACTCACTCGTGGGCTTTGTCACACCGGAGGGGGGGTTGTGGCAGCCCTCCTTGAAGCAGCGAATCCTTCGGAGTGCAGTGCGAAGCAGCAACCCATTTCCCTCCCTGTCCCCCCCCCAAATCCCCGCCGGGGGCCGCGCATTGGTGCTGACGGTTTGCAGCAGCACGACGAGCTGCCCGCTCTGCCGCCGGATTCCTTCTCCAACAAAAGAGTCCACGTGCTGTTACCCGGCAGAGCAGCCCATTGCTGCCATCCAACTGCACGGCCCTGTCTGCTGCTTAACGTCTTTTCGGTTATTTGACTTTCAGATGACAATTTCCTGCTCTCCAGCGGCCTCCTCCCGAGCCCCTCCTCCTCCCCATTCAAACAGACCTCCGTCTCACAGCGGTTCTGAACGCTCCCAATTGTTTCCCGGTTCTCTAATTGCCGCTTACTTTCTGGCAGATTTCTGCAGTCGTACCCGCGATTCATTTATCCGACCTTTACAAAATAAACAACCGGGCACTCAGCGGCTTCTCCCACCTCTTCCAGCTGCGAGAAACGAGTCAGAAAAAGTGAAATAACGCATTGGGAGCTGTTTGCACAGAGCCCCGGAGCCGAACAAAGTGCTGCCGGCCCCCCACCTCCGCACGGAGCAGCGGGTCGCTCCCTGCGTGTTATTTTATGCTGCGTTGAGCCTTATTTCCCTCTGGCCGGGCTGCAGCACAGTGTGCCATTGTTTCACTTCTCAGCACTTTGGCCTTTACGCAGTGGTTTTCCATCCTGAGCTTTCCAAGTGGAGGAGGTGGATGTTGGAGCTGGGGCTGGAGCACAGCACTGTGTGTCTGAGCGTGGGGCAACACCTTAACCCCCACCCCATACCCCATATCCCCACCCCACACCCCCACCCTGGCTCTGGAGCTGCTCGGGTGAGGAAGGAAGGGCATTGAATGAGGCCTGCAAGCACCCGGCTGGCTTTGGCAGGACAATTCTGAGCAGGGGTGGGTGAGGCTGAGCAAGGAACCTGCCCACAGGCACCTATAAAAGAAGGGCAGAAACCACAGCGCCTGGGTGAAAAACACAGCGCCCTCATCCAACGCTATTCAAAATCCTGGGCTGGGCTGTAGGCAACACACAGAGCCTCACAGAGGCACAGCAGGAGCAGTGCCCTCTCTGCACAGCCACCAGCTCCCTTCAGCCCTACATGGGCACAGGGACAGATGTGGGGCTGCACTCATCCCCCACCACCCGGTTGGACTGCTTTGTCGCTCCAGCAGCACTCATTTTTGTCTCATCATCTCCACGTTGAGCAGTGCTTGCTTCCGAAGCTCCATGCCCACCCCATCCACGTGGAGGCGAGCAGCCGTCTGTCTGTCTGTCTGTGTGTCAGACAGTTGGCGGTTTGCTGCAGCATGCAGCCAGCTGTCCTCAGGCAGCTCATTCTTTGTCGGGGTGAACGCCAAATCTCAGCACCAACTGCAGGCGCCCAGCAAGCAGCTGAGGATGCAGCATCACACAGCACTGTGCCCAAAGCCAACAATGTGAGCTTGATGCCAACAGCTCACAGCATCACTGCATGGCGAGTGGGCTCCACCCCACGATTTCTTGCTCTCTCCTCTTCTGCACAGCCTCACATTTGGTGCTGCTCCACTGTGTGTTTCTAGGAAGCGTTCATCAAGAAGTAATTGCAGCTCGGCGTCACTTAACGATCGCGGCGCTTCCCATGCTTTGCTCTGGTTGTTGGCATATGGGCCTTTCCCCGGGGAGCTGGACGGTAATTAACGCGTTCTGCGTTCAGTGTTTGCACTCACAGCACTGGGAGAGCAGACGTGGACAAAGCACGCATTGTCTGCACTGCGTCGGGTCCCTGCACAGGGTTACAGGAACGCTGCTCTGTGCACAGCTCCCACCTCGCTCCCTTCGGCGCCATTGAAACACTGGGGAAGGGGAATGGCTCTGAGCCTCCCCTGCAGACTGGGAATGGGAGGGACAAAGGGAGCCGAGAGGCCTTGGGGTCCCTTCCAACCCAGCTGAGCTGCAATGCTGTTATCCATCCGTGCTTCCTCCTGGATCTCTGTTCTGGGGCTGCCTGCAGATGGGCACTCTGATGGCTCTGGTGTGCAGAGGGGGCAGCCCTCCATCCACCACAGGGCACCCATCCAATGACAGCACTGACACCAGGCACTCTGTAGGTAAACATCAGAGCAAAGCCAGCACCAAACCTTCCTTATCCCTGTGCCCACAAAGTCATTTACTCTTTGCAGACAGGGGATAATCCATCCTCACAATGGAGAAGAGAAGGCTGAGAGGGGATCTGATCAGGCAGGGCTTGGGAGGATGGGGCCGAGACGAGGGGCACTGAGAGCTCCAGATCTCCTCCACCTGCACACCTGGAAGGAACAGCCCCAGCCCTCCCAGAGCTTCTCTGGGTGAAGGCTGCGATGGTGTCAGCACTGCTCTGTCCTGGGGGTGGCACACGGAGCAGGGATCGCATTTCCTCCTCTCTGAGTCACCATGGAAGGAGCCAGATTTTTCCAAAGGCCTCGAGAAAAGAAAAGGAAATCCATTTGGGGACGAGAAGCAAAGGTCACACAGTGCTATGAGGACTTAGAGATCGTTTTGTTGATGCAATTATTTGTACTGCAGCGCTGGCAGCTCTCAACACAGCAGCAGGAATTGCCCCACCTCCCTGACACCCCATAGCGGGCACAGAGCTGAGCGCGAACCCAAAGCCACAGGGATAGGTGAGCAGTGATCCAGCAGGCAGAGAACTCCAAACTGCCCACAGCTGAGCCTGCTGCCTGCAGCACATGCTCTGCCTGCTTGAGCTGAAATTCTGGTCGTTCTAAGCAACAGGTATTTGGTTTTGCAATTGTAATCATCACCTCTTTAAGCACAGTGGCTTTTCTGTAGCAGTGCTGTGAGGTTGTGATAACAACGACTGCTTGGAGCCCCAGATTGAGGCACTTTCACCTCAGGATCCTCCACGTCCACCCCAGGTGACAGCAGTGGGACCCTGAAATTCAGATGACACCACAGCACCTCGTTAGTAAAAGAAATGTGCATTTTGAGACGACAAACCCAAATCGTCCCCACCTGCCCCTCGTCCTTAAGGGTCAGTGCTCACCTGGGGGCAGCGGATTTGGGGCCCCCTGGCAGCATAGCAAAGCCTTGCTATGTAGGGAAGGTCCACACCATCTGCCTGCCGTTATCCTGCTAATCCAGCCCTGCTGGTGGTGAATGCTTTGCATGGATGGATGCAGTCTGGGGGGAGTCACACCACCATGCCCAGCTCCACGCAGTCACCTCTCTCCTGGGTGGCAGTGATGTGGCTGCTTTCCCTCACCATAGAGCAGAGCTGAAGCTGAAAGCCTGTGAGAACAGCATCCTTTATTCCCAGAGCATAAATAATGGAAAGAGTCATTCATGTGCTTGTAAGGGATTAAAAATAAATAAGAAAGAGCTCAGCTTTGTTGTGGTGATGGTGCACTTCATGCACTGTTCTCACCTCGTCCCCCTGCTCGGTGCAGTGAACTTGCAGAGGCTTTACTAAGCAGTGACACAGCCACAGTTCTGCCTCATCACAAAAATATCACAGCAGTGACAAAGGTAATTCTTCCACATCAGTGCTCAGAAGTGGTGGCACTGCCACAGCATTTCCCTCTGCAGTTAAGAGATGTAGCTGTGGATGTAGTGAAACACCCCCTTTCTTTCTTTTTCCCCCTTCTCCCATTTCAGTGGTGGATAAAACAAAGCAGGAGAACTTTCTCATCTGCTTCACTGCGACTGGTGTTTTGACTGCTATTTATTTCCTTCTCCCAAAGCCGTGCAGGCAAACAATCCCCAGCACAAGTTTGAGGGTGAGCACCGTCCTCCTGCAATGTCACTGCCTGGAAATGAAGCCCAGATACAGATCAATGCCTTTCAGATTTCAGATTTCCATGCATTTTACACAGCAGAAGAGCAGACTCTGCCCTGAACATTGACACAGCTGCCTTTGAGAGCAGAACTTCTGTGGCAAAGCATGGGAAGAGCTCCACGCACTCACAGGCAAATCTCCCAGAGCCACACAAATGGAAAAATTCAGTCCTACAGTGGGTTCCTATGGACTTTAAGTTATTGAACACACCTGCTATTGTTTCCTGTGTGTTGACACAACAAATACATCATTCTTTACTATGAACCAGAGATATCAAGCTGTCAGTGACTCATTCCATCCTTACGTTCACTCCCATGGACTGTTAGCTCAATTATTACAATCCAATTAAGCCTTGATTATTCTTTTTCTCTGCGCAGCGATAGCTGTTGCAGCAACATATCCAGCTGCCACTTCAGAAGGGCTGCCTTGACTCACATGTCAGTGCACACTATTAGCAGATCCGGAACAAAAAGGAGCCACATGCTGGGGATGCTGTGATGCTGTTGGTGCCCAGCAGGGTCGCCTTGGGAGCTGCAGCACCATGGCTACAGATAAAAGGCTTGAGGTACAGAGCTAAGAGCTTAAACTGAGACCAAGTGGTAAAAGATCACCATCAGCGTGACTTTGGATGATGCTTCGTCTGTTAGAGACAATTCATTAAGAGAGGAAGGAATCCAGTGCCACGAACCAACAGCTCAGCACCGCAGAACTGCACAGCGCAGACGCCAACACGGAAGGATATCAGCTCACAGTGATTCTGTACTAAAAGTATCTACACAGCAGCACTGCAAACAGCGAGAAATGGTGCCTTCACTCAGAAGGGAAGGCCTGCTGCCCCTTGACAAGGATTTGGATGCAATATGGGGTCTGGTTGAGTAGGAAGGAATCAAAGTATTCAGCTAAATTCCATTCAGAAGTGAAACAGTCCTCGAAAAGCATATTGAATTGCTGCTTTCAAACTTCAATTATTCCTTATGGATGGACATTCAGAAGAAAAAAAGAAGGGGAGACCCCTAAGAACAGAACCTCCAAAGGCAAAAGAAGTGCATTCACATAAAACACAGCAGGGGTTGCAATGTCACAGCACCAAACGTCACCCATGTGTTGGTCAGGTGTGTTCCTCCAGAAAGTTCTTCAGTTCATTGCTCACACACAACAACAGGTGGCAGTTGTGACAACGCTGCAGTGCTGATGAACTGTGGTTACAAGCACTCCAGCATTCCACGTACGCTTGGGCTAATAAACAAAACATGCTGTGTGTGAGGAAATGCAGCAAGCAGCAGCTTTTAAGACAGCCCTTCCACTGGGCACCTGCAGAACATCAGCTCTGCTTAAAGATCCCACACCACGTCAGATAAAAAGACTAATTAGATACTACACTTAATTGTGCACACCAAGAGGTAGGACTGGCTCCCAAACCAGGCTGCAGCCCTCCTTCCAGAGCAGCTTCAGACTCCAGAACTGATTTGGTTTCTGAACCAGAACTTGAAGTTAAAAGAATGGACAGCAACGACCTCCCAGCCACCAGGATTCCTTAGATAAGGCCTTATCTGTGTTCTCATTCACCCTGTACAAAAGAAAGCTGCTCAGCCAAGCGTTCGTATAAAAATAGCCGAGGTCTCTTTAAATTTAGAAATTTATTTTGTTTAATCCACAAGCTTTATATAGCTTTAGTTAAAAAAACAAAAACAAAAAAACAGTGAAAACATGACAATATCCAAAGTTCAGGTTCCTCACACTTCCAAAGAGCACATCTCTGAAAGTGGCTCACACCGTTCAGAGGAACCCTAATGAGACAAGATCTATGAACGGGGCAACGACATCTCACAAACAGAATTTGGGTAACTGAAGGAATTGTTCTGGGACTGCTGATCATGGAAACTGCCCTTTAAAAAAATAAACAAAACAAAAATACAAATGAAATTCCAGTGTTCCAAATCAACATGTTACATCAATATAAACCCACAGTGTCCTGGTAAACAACATGCTTTCATTTATGTACCACTCTAAATTGCTATTCTTGATTTGCTTTAATGGAGACTGTACAGGCAACTGTAGAAAGCATTAAAATATACGTACTTCCTTGGTAATTCTGCAGTGGTTTTACTTCTGGGCAGGCTTACAAACCACAAAGGTTAGTAGCATAATGTGAGTGGATACAAAAGAAGTCAAATGAGACCCTCACAAATTATTCTAAAAGGCTCTGTTGAATTTCAAAGAAACCAGGGAGCTGATGGTCATGTTGAAAACCTTCAAAACAAACCCCTACTGCTTCTAAGAAGTCTTGCTCTAAAGGAAATTATGTTGACTGTCAATGAAAGAATGTCACTAGTACACTGTGGACACCTTTTGCAATGTAAATCCATGCCCTTTGTACATGGTGAACCTCAACCTAGCAATTATTACAACAAATGTTATATTCTAAAGCTCAAACACATTTAGCAATTTGAAATTGAATTCTGAGTACAAACCAAATAAAATGTACATTATATCAAAGGATTCGGCCTAAGATGGGGGGGACACCTGTGCCTTCCTCATCGACCTCAGCGCCTTCTCTCGCAGGTGCTTTTCTAGATCATCAAGGTTGTCCTCTGGTTCACTTTCTGTCTCCTTGAAACAAAGAGAAAGCATTTCTTCACAAACTGGAAGCTGAGCTGCAGGGCTGCAGCCCAAGCAGCGTAAAGCATCAAGTAAAATCATAGAATCAGAGAATCACCAAGGTTGGAAAAGACCTCAAAGCTCATCCAGTCCAACCGTTCACCTATTCCCAATAGCTCCTACTAAACCACGTCCCTCAACACAACATCCAGTCTTTCCTTGAACACCCTCAGGCTCGGTGACTCCACCACCTCCCTGGGCATCCATTCCAGTGCCTGACCACCCTTTCTGAAAAGTAATACTTCCTGATGTCCAGCCTGAATCTCCCCTGCCGTAGCTTGAAGCCATTCCCTCTGCTCCTATCACTGATGACACGAGAGAAGAGGCCGACCCCCCAGCTCACTACAACCTCCCTTCAGGAAGTTATAGAGAGCAATAAGGTCTCCCCTGAGCCTCCTCTTCTCCAGGCTGAACATTCCCAGCTCCTTCAGCCTCTCCTCATATGGCCTGTGTTGCAGACCCCTCACCAGCTTTGTTGCCCTCCTTTGAACACGTTCCAGGGCCTCAATATCTTTCTTGCAGTGAGGGGCCCAATCACACTGTTTCTGAAATAGGATTGCTGTCTGCTCTCAAGAGTGCTGTAGACATTCAGATCTATTTTCTTACACCAGGCTCTGAAACATTACATCATAAGAACCAAACTCGTACCTTTTTGGGTTCTGTCTCTGCTTCCTGCTCTTCCTGTGCTGAGGTGGTATCTGCTGCAGCCACAGCAGCAGCTGCTGCAGCCACTGCAGCCTTTTCCTTCTTATGCTTTTTGTGTTTCTTGTGCTTTTTATCCTTTTTATGCTTCTTATCCTTCTTTTTCTTCTTCTTTTTTCCGCCCCCTTCTTGATCCGAATTCTGCAATAAACAATCCAACAGATACGACTCATTCCCAAGAACCTTGAACTCTGGTAAAAGAAACCCACAGGCAATTCAGATGGGCCGTGCAACTCCTGACACTGAGGGAAACGGAGTGCCTCCAGAATGGGACCCTTCCACTGCTAATGGAACAACAGCAGCACTGAGCAGCAGAGCTGCAGCACGTGGCCACGCTGTGGCTGAACACAGAACGTAACAGCAGGCCGACCTGATCCGTGTGTGACAGTGATGACACACCGACCTCTTCAGACATGAATACTAGAGGTGAAATCTAACTCCCTAAAACAAAGGGAATGAAATGAGAGGTCCCTAGGAAGCACATTCATAGAACAGGTAAGCAGGCCAAATTATCTTCTTCCTATTATGAATAGCTGGCAAATAAGACTGCTGAGCACAAGATCACCTCGCTTCGTAGGCCGTTCAGCTCACTACAAGTGGAGCATACTTGTTAAATAACACCAGCAACCTCAGGAAATGAGAAAGTGTTTTGTTTCAGAAGTTAAAATGTACATAAGGGCACTTCCCTCACTCTCAGAGAAGTCAGAGCTTGAAACATGCCTTACAAATATTTAATTTTGTAACTATGGAAAGTCTCCCCAAGGTTACTCAGTTCAGCAACTGAGCCTCTACAAAAACAACGCCACGTAACCCCAGAGAACAAACCAATACCCTTGCAGGCGATGGGCTCTGAGTTGGACTTTTAGTCTTTTTTGCAGGTGACCAGTTGGCAGAAGGGGAACGAGAGCGAGCAGGAGATGGAGGCCCTTGGTGCTTTTTGGGAGCTGGCTCAGGCGATCCCGACGCAGACCGTGACGACGACACCCGCCTGGCAGAGCGTGGACTTGGGGTGGAAGCCCTTGGAAACAGAAAAGCTACACTTAGATTCTAGCATTAGAGATATAAGAGATGAAACAGAGGAGAAAAAGTGTCACAAGTCAAATGAATGGATGTGTTTGTAAATTCATTAAGCAGCCACTTAAAAAAAAAAAATAGTTACTGTGCTGGCATATATCACAAAGGGCAAAATGATCTTACACCAGTGTGCATCTGTAATGCAACAGGATATTGCAATCTGATAGCGTGTTAAGCAGTGAGACTATTGTTGGTCAGGAGTAATTGCTCCCTTCTTTCCTGATATGATTAATTTATAACTCTATTAAAACTCAAGAGAACAGCAACACTACTTCACCATCCAGTAAAGAAAGAGTGCAAACATTCAGCTACAGTTTTTTATCCTGAAGGAGTAAAGCAAACACATGCTTCTGACAATCTGCTCACAAAAGCAGCAATCACACTGCAGACAACTGCTAACATGAGGTATTTTTATGTCTTGCACAATCAGGTGGGAAATTATTTATGAATGATAAGAAGTAGCAGTTCCCTTCTGCAGTTCGCTTTAAAATAAGACAAAGTTCATTTTGCTTTAAGCAAAACTAGGAACAAAACTCCTAAGTTTTGGTCTGCTTGTTCCCAGTGCTTTGCTGTGCTACTAGCAGAACCCTCCGACTCTACAGCCTCTTCAATGCCTCTCCCCATGCTGCACTTCAGATTAAAAGCACCTATTGAATAAACCTCAGAAAAATCCACTCAGGATTCAGCAGTACAAAAGCTGAAGCTGAGCAGCGCCTCCAGCGCTTGAGCAACCTGAAGATACATGGAGCCATTGCTCCCGTGATGCCCTAACTGCTTCCATCGCATTATTTAAGAATCCAAACACCAACAAGAAATAAGATGGATTGTTTTACTTTGTCTTCTTCGGTTCTGGTGTTCTCGACACCCTCCTGATAGGTCTGGTGCTTGGAGATGGAGACTGTCTTCTCTGGGGCGATGCTGACGCTCCCCTTCGCAGCGGCGGTGGGCTTGAAGAGGTATGAGAAGCTCTAGGCCTTGGTGAAGGTGAATGCCTTTTGTTTTGTGGTGGAGAACGTGTTTCTCTATTGGACCTACTGGAAGGAGAACCCTTCCGGTGCTTGGAAGATATCGATGGTGAGCGCCTCTTAGCAGCTGGAGAGCTCCTCTGTTTTGGGGGTGGTGAATGGGAGACTCTGCGCTTTGACTGCGGAGAAGGCGACGCTCGTCGTTTGGGTGGAGGAGGAGGAGAAGCTGTTCTTCTCTTTGGAGGTGGAGAAGGAGAATATCGCCTTTGTATCGGGGGGGAGTACCTCCGGGGGGAGGGTGAGCGCCTGCGTGGGGGCGGTGATGGAGACCTGCAAAGGAAATAAATGCTTAGGTACCAGGCAGGGGTGGGAATTGCTTACAAGTGTCATTCAGTGTGCATAAAAAGGGAAAAATTCCAGGAATGTTCCTCTAAACTTAGTTAGCACTCTGTTCAATAGCAAGCTTCGTGGAACAGTTTGATATTCGGTACCTCGTACAGCAATCAAAGCAGACCACGTAAGTACCTTAGAAAATCTTAACAGCAAAACTACGCCTCCCTCAGCAAAGAGAGGTTTCCAACAGCAAAGCACTTCTTTTTACAGGTCACAGCTGGAAGCCAACAAACCCAAAACGACCAAAACCAGAACACAGTACCTTCGGCGGGGCAAGGAGGGCGAGCGCCTTCGCCTGGGAGGGGGGGGTGGGGAAGGAGAACGCCGTCGCCGGGCAGGTGGGGGGGATGGGCTCCTCCTCCTCCTACTGGAGAAATAAAGGGATTACTCAGAAAAGCTGCAACCGAGCCATGAGGTGATTCCTCTCATTCCACTATATAATATCATCTCATCTGTGTGCTTTTAATTCTATTAGAACTGCTACTGAGGGGATAAAAAGGGAGATCACTGATGAGCCAGACCAGCTAGCAGCTCTGTCATCACACAGTGATAGGACTGCTAGGTGTACAGTGCGGAAGGAGCTCAGAATGTTTCTGTCCTGCTACAGTTGGACACTTGCAGCCAGCAGCAGCCTGAATCATAGGATGGGCAGGGTTGGAAGGGACCTCAAGGATCACAAAGCTCCAACCTCACCCATCACACACAGGGCCACCAACCTCCACACTCAATACCTGCCCAGGGCCCCATCCAACCTGGCCTTAACACCTCCAGGGATGGACGGGGCATCACAGCCTCTCTGGGCAGCTGTTCCAGCACCTCACCACTCTCATAGCACAGAGCTTCCCCCTGACATCCAACCTCCATCTGCCCTCCCTCAATTCAAACCATTTCGCCTTGTCCTGCTGTTATCTCCCCTTTCCAAGAGCTGATTCCCCTCCTGTTTTAGGCTCCTTTTAGATACTAGAAGGAAGTACTGAAGCTGGAAGTACTGAGGCTGGATTGCTGTGAACAGCATGAAACTTCATTCTTGGAAACATCTCTCATCTATGGATCTGAAATCCAGAAGAACTTCTTGAGATGCTAAGAACAATCACAGTGGCTGCTAAATTGCAGATATTTGGCTTTAAGTTACACAGAAAATGAGTCATTTTCTGCTCTCCAAGATTTAATACAACCTCTCCAAGGTTTAATACAAACTTCTGGAGAGATGGGAATAAACTGTGCACTTCTGGGGCATTAATAAATGGAAGAAAACTGGTATTCTGTAAGGAAAAAAGGTTCATTCTCAAAAGCAAATAGATAAAACAAAATGATGAAGTATAAAATGAGTGTGATAAAGAATTAAAGGGCTCATTAAAGAAACTAAAAGTTTACTCCAAACACCCTGGTTGTTGTTCTACAAGGCAATTACTTACAACTTCTATAGGTAAGGCTTTGCTTCAAAGCAACATTCTTTAATGATCTGGGAAAACAGCAGTGCTTAAGTGTCAGGGTTGCACTAATTAAATGTGATTAAGTATTCACATGATAGGCAATAGGCAAATTTAGACACACTGCAAGATAGTTTCAAGTCTTTCAATTCTATTTTACAGAGCAATGTTTCTTTTGTTCTTGGAATTTTTTTTGAAATGTTCCAATACCCAAACCCTTATGGGACAGATGACTCTGAATTTCCTTCCTGTTGGTACTGTGAGTGTGTGCAAATTCAAATGAAAGAAGTATCCATAACAAAAGAAGAGCCAAATGATTTTCCATATGTAAATCCTGTTAAAGAGATGAATTTCTAACCAACCTTTTCATCACTGGTGATTGCCACCTCTTTTCCATCTGCATCCTGACAGCAGTGGAAGAAAAACAAAACAAAGACAAAAAAAATAATCTAACTGCCCAATATTTGAGGCAGAAATGAACATGTTCCAACACCACAGATTAATTCTCAGCAAGAGAATACAATTGTGGAACAAGGGTCCATCTAAGCAGGCATCCCTCACATGACATGCACTGCTACATGCTTCAAGGATAGAGAACAAAAAGCAGCCTGTATTAAAGCCCAGCTTACCTCAGTGATAGCAAAGGTGGCCAGTTTTAAGAGAATTACATCAGTATTTTAGTTCACAGTAGGGGCTTTACAGTATTACATCTCAAATCACAAACACTAAAGAGGAAGCCTGCTGTATAACCAGCACTGAGACCCTGCTTTTCTTCTTGAAGTTATTTTGGAGAAAATAAACGATTATCTGCTCGCACAGTTCTGTGCTGAGGGCACAATTCAGTTCTTTAGGGGAACTGCTGACAAATAAACACATGAACTGGACAGCTATCAAAGAAAAGGGGCTGTGCTCATAGTAAGAAGCTGTTACCGAGGGGAAGGCTCCTTCTGTCGTTTTCGTGGGGATGGAGATGGGCTGCGTGAGTGGGAATGGCGGCGGCGCCGACCGACCTCCCCATTCTTCACGTTGGATCTCTTGGGTCTTTCCTCTTCAGATGAAGATGAGGAGCCAGAATCTATGAATGGAGAAGAGTTACCCCCTGGAAAACAATTCTTCTGACTGCTGCAAAGATACTGCTATGGTTATAATGCTGTGTAAATGACTAACCCTCCATTCCCACTAAACAAAGCCTCTGGTTTAGAAGCAGTTAACAACAAGTGTTCATTTGTAGCTGATAAACCCATCAGAGCTGGGTAACAACACCTGCAGAAACTAACTCTACACCTAAAAATTCACCAGTCAGGTCGTTTTAAAAATGATCTGCTGTGATGCACAGAAACCTACATTAAGTCAGGAGCCCAAGTTTTAGGAAATAACCTGCAGTAAGAGACTAAGGAAGTCATGGGAAACATTTGTGTGTGACATGAAGAGTTTAAAAGTGAAGCTTTCAAAGATGCTTAACAGGAGACATGCCACAACCTCTAAGAATTAAGGCTTATTTAATGAAAGTAGCATGAGCAATAATTAAAGTTACTCCACTATGAGTAGGTAGATATGCAGCTAAGTTTGCAACAGCACTGCACACAGCAAAATCATTTTAAAATGAACGTTTGAACCGAATGATAACTCCTGCAGGAGCTTTAATCCAGGCTTAGGAAATGCAAGTTATCCATACCAGATGAAGACTGTTGATTTTGCCTTCTGTACTGACGTCTCTGTTGCACAGAATCTGCTGCAGCCATTTTACCTCCCTTATCTTCTTCTGAAAAGATACAGATAGAATATTTAAATTGAAAATGAATTTTGCCTTATTCAGACAGAAGTAATGCCAGTTGATAGTTTGTCAGGCATGCTTTGTTTTTTCCAGGAAAGCTCAGATGGAAGATTTGAGGCAGTGTCAACGATCATTTCATGCTTCTGAAAACTTTATTTCAATGCCAGCTTACCAACAGCACTCAGCACTTTACTAATACCTTCTATTGCTACACTTCTTAGACCAAAAACCCCAACTAAGATGCTGACAAGTGAGAACCATACCTGACTCAGACAGCTCAGCCTTCCTTGGTTTTGGTGCTGGTGAAGGAGATTCTCTTTTTTCAGTACTCTTATGCTTGGGTGCTAAAGGAAAACCAAACAAGTTGCTTCAATTTGTTTGTTTTTTAAACCCATGCGTGCTTTTCTGCTCAAACAAGCTGCAGATGTCACCTTCGAGCAGACGGAAGCACAAAGACAAAGCAGCTGAAAGAAACTCATTTCTCACCTGACGCCCTGCCAGGTGAAACAGAGCCACGGCTTTTCCTTGCACGATTTGACTGCTGAGGTGTTGGAGATCTGCGTGGTTTGGGAGGTGGACTTGGTGGTGGGGAAGGTCTGTGCCTCCGCCTCGGGGGGCTGGCAGAAGGAGACAGCCGCCGTGTTTTACGAGGAGGGCTGGACACAGGCCTTTTAGGTGGCTTCTTTGGTGGAGATCGGGAACGTGAGGAGGAGGAGGAAGAGCTACTGCCAGATAAAGATGCTGATGAGCGTCTCCTCCTGTAAATCAGAGGCAATGTTAGACCTGGCCCAGGAAGATGCTTGAGCACGAACACAGAACTGAATTTGTTTGCAAGCACACATAGAGAGCCACATACAGCAGCACTTCCAAAACATGGCCAACAGCCTCCAGCACTTGTAGAAGTGTTTGTAAAAGAGATTAAGACCCAACCTTTCCATTATTTTTAAACTACAGTGAGTAAAATAAATAAATAAAAACTGGTTAGTGTTACCTTCACTTGCTTTCTGCCAATCTACAGGCTACAACTAAGCTTTTCTCCTGGGAGTAATTAGTTTCCTTTGGGCTCTCTAACTTCTGGATGGTTAAGAGGATTCTCCATGTTAGCACACGTGATTTAATCACCTTTCAAACAGATCTATTTCAGAGTTTAGTGTGCAAGTATGCTCAGAGGTTTCTATACCAGGAGGCAAAAATTTCAGACAATTCTGAACCTGCTTATTCATCCTTAAGTTTTAGTCTTTCATCTTTACTTTGTCATTTTAAAAAGACAGGGCCTCTAGAATTCTGCGGCAAAATTTGTGGCAAGTTCTGTTGCAACTTTGTACCTGCAGAATCCACCTTTGGCTGCAGAATTCCTGAGAACCTGGAAAAAAGAAACCCTACCTTGAGTGAGACAAACACTTGCTGAAAGGGAGCTCTTGTACATCTTGCAAGATACACGCTTGATACTTCCCACAGTTTTTTTGCAGTAACTGTGCACAATGAACATCTTTACAAAGTCAAAAAAGGTGCTCATCCCTTGTTTGAAAAAAGGAAGAACTGTTCCTTCTTTAGAAAGGAAGAACTGTTGTGCACAGGAAGCATCGCCTCAGTTCTCTTCCTATGAAGAGGACAGGAATTTATTCTATTCCTACGAAGACAAATCCCTGTTTTGACGTTGCACTGAGCACACAATTCTCCACAATGCAACTCAGAGCCTTCCTACCAGAATAGCTGCTCATGGATCAAAAATATAGCCTTCAACACTAACGAGGAGACCTTACAGAGTTCTCATTTTTAATCAGAACATGAAGAAATACATTTCAAGTCCAAGTTCAATTTTTAACTTAACTTTAGGTAATGGAACGGTGAGTCATAATTAAAAAATATCCCAACAAATATAATCCAGGGTTTGTTCTAACATTTCTCTCCAAGGGGAAATAAAAACAGCCAAATGATGCCTCATCTGCCTAAGGGGGGAGCTATCCAGAGCCATTTCAAGGCCTACAGTTGCCACTTCTTGAAACTGTCATGGTTCTTCCAGCCGTCCCCAAAACACTTACAGAACATGACATGGCAGCTCCTACATCATTCAAATCACACATTACTGGCAGAGCTGAGAAAGATGAACAAGACAGTTCTGATAAACATCATTCACCAAAACTAACTAAAAAAAAGAAGGAAAGGGAAATCTTACCGCCTCACTGGTGACCTGCTTCTTCTGTGCCTGGGTGGGGGAGGCATTCGCCTTGGAGGAGTCCTCCTCCTCGGGGACGGCCGTCGTCTCGGGCTTGGTCGCCTTCTAGGGGAGAAAGACCTGTCACAATCATAAGCCCCAATGAAAAGCAACCATCTAGTTTTCAGACTTGAGGAACACTTTTCCTCTGGGAATTGAGACGTTGCTTTTCTCCAACTGCCAACTTAAAGTAGCGTTTAAATTACAACGCCAAGCGCTGCATTCAGCCACCATCGGTGGTTTTACGTTTGCAGACACCTTCTAAGAGTGAAGAGGGGAAAAAAGTAAGGAGGAGGGAGAGGAATTTGCAAAATCTTCAGTATCAGACCTAAAAGGTGGCTACATAACTCTCACTGTCACCATTAGTCTCTGCAACCCCTTTCTCATGAACTAATATGAGGACAACAGCTCCCCACGTTTATTCCTTGAATACATCATTCTCATCCAGCCCAAAACATTCACAGCTCACATCACTAAAAACACAACTACCTAAATGGAGAGCATGACATTAAATGGCGACTCCAGAAGAAAAGCCACTCAGTTCTCAACCTCTGCCATCGAGGGAAACAGAAGCCCTACCTTGATCGTGATCTGTGACGCCTTCTTGGTCGAGAATGAGATGGAGAACGTGACCGAGACCTCGACCTTGATTTAGAGCGAGTTGGGGACCTCTGACGAGTCTTCTCTTTCTCCTTTTCTCTCTCCTTCTTTGAATTACGTTCTGGTGAAATTTCTTTTGTCTCTGGTACAGGAGGTTCAGATTTTGGAGCTTTTGGGATATCACTATTAAAAAGAAAAATTGATTTACAAGCCCATACAGGCTGTAGCCACGGAGTGACATTTTAGAAGCTGGCACCATATTCCCAACAAAGAACATTCCCTCGTCCATCTTCTTACATGTTAAAGATCCTACTCAACACTCATGAAAAGAATTAAAATATGGTACAACGATTCAGAAGGCAAGTAAAAGTAACACCAAGGCTGTGCATTAGCTTGCTGGAAAACAAGATGACATTGTCAGAAGCAGAAAGGACGCCCAGAGTAATGAAACAACAGTGGAAGCTCGGGATTCTGCCCTTAATTCTATACAGGAAAAAAGAAATCCTACTGAAAATTTTTAGACAAATACTCTTGTCATCTTAGGGGAACAGGAAGAAGCAGACATTGCCTGTAGTCAAGCTTGGAAGGATGATCTTTAACATGCGTTAAGATCATTTCCATTCTTTAAGAAGCAATACAGCATCCTCAGCAGAGCTATGGCACCCACCTGTTTGAAGTTGCCTCTTGAACAACAGTCTCCTTTGGTTTCACAGAGGGCTCTGGCTCAGGAGTTGCCTCCTTCTTTTCTGGTGCAGGCGTAGCACTGCGGCTCTTGGTTCTGTGATGAGGGGAGCGAGAATGGCTGCGCTTCCGCTCCCGCCTGACGGGCGATGATCTCCTCCTGGGGGAAGGAGACCTCGACTTGCGTCTGGAGAAGGAAGCAGTGCGTAGTGAAACAACACACGTAGAGATAAAACTGGTGATTTTCAGCACCTAAAAGCTCTTCTGAATGGAGTTGGTTCTCAGTACTTGTCTACAACACGTGTAGGAGAACTGAGAATTTTTGCCAGCAATTTACAGCCAAATTAACATTTCAAACTTCAAACAGTAAGGCAAAGCCCGGAACAGACAGACCACTCAAAGCAGCTGCTAGTGTAAACAGTACCTCTGTCAGTGTCCAACTGACAATCAACAACTGCAAGAAGTTAAATCAGCCTGCTGAAATAGCTATGGGAGTATTTACAAACTTCAACGAACTCTTCTCTGCCATGCACTCTTTGCCACAGCCTACAGTACTGTTGCATATATATACACACTACCCATGTATTATCATTACCTTCTTGGACTCCTGGATCTGTCTCTTTTTTCTCTGTTGTCTTTGTCTTCCTTATCCCTCTTCTCCTTGTCCTCATCTTGTTTCTTCATAGAAGCCAGTTTCTCTTGCTCTATCTAGTAAGCAAACATCACTTAACTCAGAGGTATCACAGGGACCTCATCAAAGTTGCATTTAAGAAGACAAAAAATGTACTGCTTCAGACTCAAATATTTGTTCTTCGAACAAAAAGTTCTGCTAAACCCAAAGCACTTCTGTAACATCAGTAACAACCTGCACTGCCTCTGCTTCTGCACAACGCTCACAACTCACCCACAATCCTGCAATGAAATCCTACCTGCCGCTGTTTAATTTCTTCTTTCTTCAGTTCCAGAAAAGCAGTTGGAATACCAGCAATGTTTTCTTGCGCACTTAACAGCAGTGGCCACAGTTCGCCCATGAACTCCCTAGCATTTTTCCCATTCAAAAAACCAGTCAGGTTGATTTGCATCATTTTGGAATCTGGATTCTGCAAAGAGATATGACAGGAAGACAAGCCTGTTATCTGAAAAACAACCCACAGTTTGTCTTAAACTTAAGTTAAAGCTACCATGGGGGCTAGAATACATATACACTCAAGAATTCTACGTATATAGATTTTAAATCTCTCCCTAGTGGTTTCTCATCAATATAAGCTTATTGTATTATTAATTTTCTTTTGTGTCTTACCATAAAGATTCAAAGGCCTGTTAATCCTTTGTGGGTTTCACAATTATTTTTGGACTGTGTGACTGCTAGACAAGCAAACAACCAAAGGCCTTAAATTTAACACACCGTTACAATGCTGTTAAGACTTTTAAGCATCTTTTTTCCTGAATGTTTTGATACTCCTCGCTTGGAAATCTTCCTTACCATCTGCACAATGGACAGAAGCCACGGAATTGCCTAACACTGCAGATGACATCCTGCTAAGTACCTTAAGTCCTGCTGCCAGCGTTCAAGATTCAAGCATGCATTTTCCTACTTGCTTCAAAACATTACGACTACACCTGCACTGAGGGAGCATAGGCTAACTATGTGTCTTACAGATTTTCTCTCCTCAAAGAAATTATGTCACGTCCACAAAGGGTTAAGAGGTCAAAGAGTGGTTCAAC